TGACGGTACCTCCTCTGTCGGTTGTCCTCTGACGGTACCTCCTCTGTCGGTTGTCCTCTGACGGTACCTCCTCTGTCGGTTGTCCTCTGTCGGTTGTCCCCTGACGGTACCTCCTCTCTCGGTTGTCCCTTGACGGTACCTCCTCTGTCGGTTGTCCTCTGACGGTACCTCCTCTGTCGGTTGTCCTCTGACGGTCCCTCCTCTGTCGGTTGTCCCCTGACGGAACCTCCTCTGTCGGTTGTCCCCTGACGGTGCCTCCTCTGTCGGTTGTCCTCTGACGGTACCTCCTCTGTCGGTACCTCTTCTGTCGGTTGTCCTCTGACGGTACCTCCTCTGACGGTACCTCCCCTGTCGGTTGTCCCTAAAACATTGTGCCATATTCACATGCATGTAATGTCAAACTTATTTGTCGTAATTTACTCTTAGAAATCAACACATTCAAAATATTTCATAGAGTTTGAGTTTCGAAAAGCAAATTATCTGTTTACCTTTACAATCAAATGTCAACAAAACTATCAAGGATAAACAATTAAGTGCAAACAGTACTTGGAACTGTTTAAGGATAGGAGGGTTAATAATACACTACTATAGAATTTAATTTAAGCACCATATAATTTATTTTATTCCGGTACGTCCGTGTTACATATTTAACTTTGTTTATGTCAATACACATAACAAATATTCGACGAACAAATCAACACCGAACATTGAAATGGAATAATGTGTTCACACAGGAGAGTTACTTATAATAAATTAACAAAGTACAATCAATACCTCAATTATTGAAATCAAAATATCTTTTTTATTATTTCAGTGTATACATAAACTAAAAATGCTAACAGTTTGTGGTGTTAGGCCATGAACGCCAAACTCTGGATTTCTTACTTGCTCGACAGGTGTTGAATTTCGCGCAGTAATACAAACAACCGGAAGTAACCCTAGCACACACGTGGGGTCGGCGGTTTTCCTTGGTAATTGAGTCCCAAGATAAACACTTGTCAGTTTGTTTACTTTCCTAGGCACATCGTAATCTCTGTCAATCTGTACGCTATTGAATAAGAGTTACAATCTGAGTGGAGATATGTGATTATTGCCAGGAGTTATTCCCACACGTACAGACAAAACCATCCAAACCATTCCTCCGGCATTCAGGTCCAAATGTTCTGCGGAAATGTGTAAAATGATGTTTTGTTATATTGCAATCATAGGTGTTGTGCACTTTGTATTATCTCTTAACGACGACACCTCTGATTCTTACAAAGATGACACATATCTTAATGAACACGATATATCCTTACGTCTTATAATTAGTCCGACCTCATTACAAACTGTACCCATTCTTAAACTACTTCTGCAGCATAGGAATACATTTATTTTGATAATTGTCCCGGTTTGATTTCTGCTTGGTATGATTCTACTACATTTATTTATGACTACAGAGATGTTACAGTTATTATCATCATCATCATCATCATCATCATCATATCATCATCATCATCATCATCATCATCATCATCATCATCATCATATCATCATCATCATTATCATCATCATCATCATCTTACTTTCAATGATTGAATCCCGATGTCTGTGACAATAAAATATGAAAGAGTTGTTTGCTTTAAATAGCGTCAATGTTGTAGGAAACGCAAATTTTCTAAAAATATCAGGCTCACTTTCGTTTTCCTTAGAAGTTGCTTATGTCTTTTCTCTTTTATTTTTTGTTTCCTCAGTTCTTGTTGTCTTTTCGTATCGACCTAAAATTTTATATGTGTTGTTGTTATCGTATATTTTGCCCTTGTGTGCTGAAGTTATTGCCATTTCTGGCAACGAGAAATGAGGGTTAATCTTCAGAAAAACATTATTTGATGGAGACCTATGTCTAATATATGTTTTTCAATTATTTCTTAATTAACCGCTCAGACGGAAGATATTCGGACTTTTTAATTAGTTCTGTGTTTCACTAAGCATCTTTAATTTGCTACCGTTTTCTTGTTTTACATTAAGCCAGACAGACAAGAATATACCTATACTAGACGTTATTATGTCTCTCACGATAATCTGAACACGTGCTCGATCTTGCGATTTTCTGTCTTATTGGTTATTTTCACTGACCACCGTATTTATTTAGGACATGATCGTCTTGCCGTTTACAGTGGACAACTATTTGTACAATAAATTGCTCAGTTGTATAAACGTCGTTATCCAATTCACACAAACCTTTTCATGGTATTGTTATGCCAAAAGAAACACTATTTGGTTGTTGGAACGGTGGAAAACTGACCATTGTGGCATCGTCAAAGACTACATGTAAACAACTGACCGGGAACAAAGGTGTCGTTAGTCTTACAGAGGAAGTGGACACGCCGGTCAAATATATCAACACCAAATCTTGACCAAAGGCCATTGTATACAAAACATATCGATGTTGTGTTATGCCCATTAAATCTTGATCTGTCTCATTAACTTGTTAGGGCGAAAAATATACACAGTTGTATTAAATATACTAAGACGCACTCTTCGCTATATTTTTATCAATAGAAATCTGCCTGTACGCTTGCTTGTATAAAACACGTGTCGTTTAAGTGGCCACTTAGCTGTTGATCTTCCCGATTTTCGACTTTTTAAAGTATATGTTTAATTAAATGTTTAAGATTATCGCCACACAATGCCTCTCTGTGGGATAACCATTAACACTAATTCGAAATATTTATACTTATTGGAGTTGGATATGATATATAGCTTCTTTGTCGGCACATCAAGTGGATGTTTTCTTGCCACAAGGTACAAAATATTTATGCATTGGTCGTAATTCTATTTTTTCATAAATATCAAGTATCATTTTCAGTTCCTTGAGCCATTTTCAAGGGATTAAAAGAATTGATACAGTAAACTATGAATGAGCGATACAACTACGAAATATTAATATTTTCTTAACTAAATACACATTTTATTTAATCGATTTTGATATTGGGCCAAGTTAATGAGTCACCTTATACCTAAATATTTATAACTTTCACTTTCATCGCCTTAAGTTTCTTTACCGAAAAACTTGACCAGATCATCAATACCTGTATAGTGAAACACGTCACAGAGAAAATAAATACGATTTGATGAAAAATATCGGGAAAATGTGGCAGAGATTTGTCCTTATTTACATTTGCACAGTCATCATTAACTGTCGTTTAGTTTTGTCCATCGTGTGCGATACATATATATTCCGTGGTTATGTCGATAAAATGGGGGGAAAATCCCATTAACATCAAAGCACCGACACAACTGCCAAAGAGAAGTAAAACTGAACTCAAAAATATAACAAAGGAGACACAATATTAAAATATCCCAATACCCCCTCCACACACACATAACAAACAAACTGTTAATCCACTGTATATGGCATTCAACTGTCGTTACATAGTGTAACATCCAAATAAACGCCCATCAATCTGGCTCGAGTTTCATGAATGCTTCTTAAGTCATGGAAAATACTTTTGTTTTAATGGGAATGTAATATTGACGCTAGACAAATCCTCAATTCCAGCTACACTTTCGTATGGAAAACCTCAGGGATTTTCCAAAGTTGAGGAACGATCGTGAAGACGAGACCTATGAATGCAAAGCTGAAGTGGCGAAGGGATATTGAAAGTTTGTATCATATTGTTTAATCGTCATACACTTTTTCCTGCCTCCAGGGACACTTATACCAATATGATTTCTGTATGGCTAAGTATTGGTTATCCCATCATTTTAGACGTTAAAGTGACGGGTTCTATATACAGTAACAATATAATACAAAAACGACAACTTAGATACATACACAGTGGAGATTGAACATTTACCAGGTGGAAGCGTATGAGTGTCGGTACTAGGTATTTTACCAGGTTTTCATTTCTTTCTCATATATGTTTTCTTATTTCAATTCTGTTACGTCTTCCATACTAAATATTTAAATTCAGTGTTAACATTCGTATTTTACAGTTTTGTTTTGAATAATTTGTAATTACATGTAATAATGTTGATGTCCAAAGCTACATAAATACTGTAAAGTATATAATGTTCAAAGTTCTGTATAATTCTTGTTTAGGTCACTAAACATGTATCATTGTTACAAATCACATTGCCAAAGCATGACCTTAGAATGTTATTTTCAATAATTCTGAGTTTAGATCAATGCTAACTTGTTTTATTATTCTTTTCACATTTCACATGCAGACTTTATATATGGTGCAGTATGAAAAGTCCGAAACATTCGCCCCATAACGTAATGCACTAACCAAAGACAGCTGATCAAGTGTCTATACTTAACCAGAGACGTATATATTACATATAATACACACGTCTCTGACTGAACTTACTACTTTAACAAATATTTAAAAGTGCAAATATTGCTTTTCTCTCTTGGACAGCAACTTGGGTTTTTGTGTGTCAATCTGCCGTTAAAACAAAAAAGCACACCCAGGTAATAAAATTGATAGGCAACATCCAATTTATTTTCTTTGCACCGCCGTATTTAATTCTCTTTAAGTCTACCTCATTTCTTAACACGAACAAAAATCGTTTTAGTAGTATTTAATAGTATTACAAAACCTATTTCGTGTGTGAGTATACTAGTTATTAACAAGGAAATATATCATTGTTTGTCAACTTCTTTTGTTTCAGATATGATGCCATGTCCTCTGCATACGTAAGTAAATATATATTGATTTATCACATAATGTACTGTGTTATCCAGTGACTATACCCATGTTATATTTGTTGTGTATTAACCCATGTAATATGACCTACCAATCATGTGATTGGTTGTAAGTTTCAATTGGTTCAATTGTAACGTCACACCTAGGACGAGTACATGACGTCACAGACTTACGCACTGGATTCCAAATGGCGGCTTTTTACATCTCAGGGTTGCATGGAAATTGTCGTTTTACCCTAATAAATACCACAAATCTTGATAATATGATAAAAAGGATATTACACTCGTTTTCATTTCATATGAAATTTATGAAAATCGTAACGAATTTTTCATTTCAGCTCGCAAAAGTCTCGCTAAATTGAAAAATCTTAGACTCGTTTAATAAGTCTCATATGAAATGGAAACTCATGTAAGATCATGTAAGATCTTGTACTTCAGTAGATTGAAACTTTTTATAATAATTAAAATGAAACAAAAAGAGGTTATGGAATTTCCCCCTGGAATATCCAGTGTCAGTGTCGAATACACACAAATCACACACCTTGTTCTTCTATATCTTCTTTAATGCCATAACTATGACTTTTATCAAAATCGAAGTTCTTTGTATAATCTTCAAAACAACAATAGGGTCGTTTCTTCTTTTTCAAAGTACTATTGGTTAACATTTTTAAAAGCGAAGGTGGTG